ATGATGCTGCTTGGCCTGCTGTGTTCATCCAGCCCTGCACCTTGTTGACCCAAATATATTACCTCACTTACTTAGCCGTCCCGTGTCCGCTCCTGCTCAGCGTGCACTCCGCCTATTCACGAGGTAAGTTTTTAAAGGATTAACTTACCTTCCCGGCAACCCCCTGGTCCTCGCTGTCACTGCTGCTGCAAAAATGGAGTCACGTGAGGTAAGACTTTTATCATCAAAGCTTACCTTCCCAGGCTGTCCTCGCGCCTCCTCCCGGACTCCCACTGCTGAAACAACTGAAAGCATTTCATAAATGAGAGGTCAAGGGTGATCTGATAACGCACATTGGGTGAGGTTTCAGGAACCGTTAAATGATATAAGCAGATGGCTGCTGTTTTGAAGGACATAGGTAGGCTTCTAACAGCTCTTCTCATCGTATTTAGACTCTCAATGTGCTGCACGGACAGAGGTTTCTGCCACACACAAATGGGGCAAATGTGCGTTTCAAAAGCTGTGAAAGTACGGAGATCAGGATTTCCCAAACCTACTTGAAAATCTGGCTCAGTTATCCAGAAATATTTGGTGACCAGTTATTCTTTTTTATTGTGCTTCTGTTGCCACGTTTCATTCCCATATGACTGGCTTTGCCTAGAGATCTTAACTATAGTTTTCCAGCATGTCATATTTGATTTTTTCTGCCATCCCTCTCATTCAGTGTCCTCTGGTTCCCAAAACAACCACAGTGGGGATCAAGTTCATTCTGTTCTTTTGCCAACCACTCTTGATTTGAAAACGATCATATCATCATTTCACTTCTCAAGAGAAGATCCCCAGCTGCTTCAGTCGATCCAGTTGTCAGAAATCCCCCATCACTGAAACTATTCTCAAACTTTTCTGTCATTATGCTAAATCCTGAACATCCATCTTAAGATGTGGTGCCCAGAATTGTATGCAATACTTTAATTGTGGCTGAACAATTGTTTTATGGATTTCTTCATATTTTCGTCATCTTTGTACTATATATCTCTATTTATAAAGCCTAGGATCTGGTGTATGTTATTATGGAATTCCTGAAGCACCCGAGACCCTTCAACAATATGCAAAAATACAAAAGGTCTTCTGATCTGCACTTGCATTTGAATTGCTACTTTATTCTATGTTGGCTCCAGCTGCTTCCTATTAGTGTGACAGTTGTGCATGAAATTTAATTCGCTCAGTTTCTGCCTCTTCTATTAGCCTGTTTTGTGTCCTTTTTGAACTTTTATTACATGTTCCCAATACTTTAAAGTGTGTCATTTGCCAATTTTGAATTTATGCCCTGTATGCTCAAGCTTGGGTCATTAACATCTCAAAAAAGAGCAGTCCTAATGTTAATTTCTATTTTCGCTTACTCAATTGACCTCAAATCCATGCTGCCAGTAAATCTCATTCAGTTTGCTGGCAAGTTGATCAAACACTTTCAGATACATTTTGCTAATCCTCATGCACATCTACTGCGTTACCCTGATCAAATTGTCTCCCTTAGCTCATTTTAAAAATAATTCATGTTTGACTAAGTTGATTATCTTGAACTAACCATGCTTGCCCAAGTGACTGATAATGTTACCTCATTATTGCCTAAAGTTTTCCTATCCTTTATGTTGAACTGACTGGCTTATATTTGCTGGATCTATTTTACAATCTTATTCAAGAAAAGTATATAATTTTCAATTTGCTTTTCTTTGGGCATCATCTCTTCTGTCAACGAGAATGGGAAAATTATGGCTGAATGATTACTGCAGAATGTGTGCAGAATTACTTGTGTATATTATTGACTTTAGATGAATATCATCAATCTAGTATAAACTCAAATTCCTCATTGATAGTTTTCAAAGACATTTTTTTCTTGTACTTCATATGATGACTTATTGTAAACTCCACTGCAACAATATTGGTGACAGTAGTGTAGATTCAAGGGCCAAATGGAAACGATATTTCCACTCATCCTCTGGTACTTTCAAGGATCATGATTATCGCATTATGATGTGACCAACTTATTCTCAATTTTAAACTTGTTCTATGGAACAAAGTACTTCAGCAAACAAAATCGTTTGTGTACTTTGCAAAAAGTCTGTTTCTTTCTTTGAAAAATAGTTTTAAATTTAAACTTGATTTTACACCGTAGGTCATGTCTCCGTGGCAACAGGTGGGAGAGTCTGGGATTGCACTGAAAATGTGTCAGAGTAATCAGTTATCTGAAGAGCAAAGAAGGCTGTAAGTTGTTGTTTGTCCACATCTCCAAGTTTGGGAACATGTGACATTTTGTTCTCTATTCCAAAATGCAAGTAATTAATACTAATCGCAAAAGCATTGATCCTGGTACTCACCTTGGAAAACACCTTTGTTTAATATCCTCCAGTTGTAAAACAACAGTTTACCAGGAATCACTCCTACTGACGTCAAGGATTTTTTAAATTGAATTGATTCTGATCCTCCTATTCCACGAGACTGAATTCTGTCAGTTAGCCCTTTGTGAACAATAATATTGCAATTTATAATATTGAAAATATTATTTTGATACTGATCTTTATTCTCTATCAGACACTTGAACCTAGAGAAACTTTTTGAGATCCAATCTATACCTAAAGATCAGCAATGCAACCATTTAAAAAGAGTCAGTGCTGATCTACCAGAGCTTGACTCGTAAGTATTTCTACTAGTATATGAAATTACTGAATGAAAAACAATGGGTAAAGAATCAAAGCTCGATCTGTCTCTAAATTCTCTTGATTACAGGTTTTTACAGCATTTTGTTGTGAGTAGTGTGAGTCATGAACCAGTGAGAAGATCTGATCTGTCCATGTTATTACGACAGCCAAAGTTATCTTCCACAATCCGTGAAGACCAGAATAAGGTAATAGAACATGTTTTTCACCTTTAAAGATCAATGCTTAAAATGTAATGTATTTATTCTTTATCAACTTGATAGAAGCATACAAAATTGAAAGGCATGGATAGAGTGGCTAGTTGAAGTCTTTTCCCAGGGTGGTAATGTCACATACTAGGGGTTATAGATTTAAGGTGCAAGGGGAAAAGTTTAAAGGAGGTGTGCGGGGCAGGTTTTCTCCAACTGGTGGTAGGTGTCTAGACCACTGCCAGGGGAGGTGGTAGGAGCAGACACGATAGCAACATTTAAGAGGCATTTAGACAAACAAATGAACAGGCAAGAGATAGAGGGATACGGACCACGTAAAGGCAGATGTTATTAGTTCAGAATGGCATCATGGTCGGTGCAGACATGGTGGGCTGAAGGGCGTGTTCCTGTGCTGTACTGTTTTATGTCCTATGTTCCATTAATTCGAAATCTGTAGGTAAAACTACAAATCAGCAAACGTAGATATCTGGCTTGAATGGCCAGCTGGTATTATCAGAATAGCATAAATAATGATTGGCCGAAGAGTTCTCACTTAGCGTAATCAGACTGTATAACTTGCCTTTACATTCATTTAATTTTTCCCAGCGCAGGCCTGCATAATTTTAATCCAGTTGTACATCGGTATTAATATATTAGTGTGTTGATCCCATTTAACTTTTTTCAAAAATGTTGTGCTAATACGATTAAAACTACACCTTCTGGCTATGAGAGTTATACTTTTCATTTTCATGAATTGTTCAGAAGAATAAGAAAACAGAAATAGGCAAATGCTGGAAATGCAAAAGAAAGAAACCCGAAGCACTTGACTTTCATGTCTGGCAGTAACTATGGAAAGAGAAACTGAATTCATGTTTGAGGTCAAGGACTTGAATCAGAAACCCTGCTCTGTAAGACCATAAATCGCTAAGAAGTAGGAACAGGAGTAGGCTATTCCGCCCCTCGGGCCTGCTGTGCCATTCAGTAGGATCGTGCCTATTTCAACGTGCTTCATGTCCACTTTTCTGCCCTTTCCCGATAACCACTAACCACTAATCTCCTACTGGTCAAGAATCTATGTATATCAATCTTAAATATACACAAGGACTCTGCCCCCACAGCTCTTTGTGGCAATCCTGAAGAAATTCCTCCTCATTTCAGTCTTAAATTAGTGTCCTTAACTAGGAGATTAGATTTAGGTTTACTGTCACATCTACTTGAGTACAGTGAAAAGTTTACAGTATCGCCCCACGTGCCGCATCTTAGGTACAATGTACCTAGGTACAAATCTTCTATACAAAATAGAGAAACAAAGAAAGAAAAATTACATTACAGTTTTTCAGAGTGTAAGTTTGAAAAATAAGGACTAAAATTAAAAGGATAAACATTGCAGCCTTTCTACAAAGGACCTGCAGGAGATCAACGCAGGAGTATTCCACACATTGTCTGACCAGGCTTGCAAGCTGCTGACTGCCCACACTGGTCCCCAGTCCAACAACCGTCCCTGCTCTGTTTCAGGCGTGCTGGCCATCCCCGCTCTGCTTGGGCCTCCTGGTCCTCTGGCTATCCCTGCACAGCTCGGGCCTCCACCCTGCTGGCCGTCCCATCCCACTCCGCTTGGGCCTCCGTTGGCCAACATTATGCCTTCTGTTCCTACGTTCTCCCAGCATTTACTCTGTCAAGTCCCTTAATTCTATATGTTTCAATGAGATCAACTCTCTTTCTTCCAAAGAGTAGAATCTCAACTTTAACTTTGCTCAGAAGACAGTTCTTCCATATTAGGATCAGCCCAGTGAACCTTCTCTGAACTGTCCCAGTGAAGAATGTTATCTTAAATAAGAGCAAACCTGTTCACTATATGCCAGTTGTGGTCTCACCAGAACCTCAATTTGATTTTGATTTATTGTGGTCAAGTGTACCTACGTAGAATGAAAAGCTTTGTAAGCAGTACATGCGGATCATCTTAAGCAAGAACATGCAGAGCATAGGTTGCTTAGACAGAGTGAGGCATACAGATTACACTGCACAGTGTGCAAAGCAACATCAACATGAACAAGATCAACATTATTTGAAGCTAGAGAGTCCATTCATCAGTCTAATGGCAGCAGGGAAGAAACTGCTCTTGAACCTGTTGGTGCTGTGTGTTCAAGCTTCTGTATCTTTTACCTGACGGAAGAGGTTGTAGGAGAGCAGTACCAGGGTAGGGAGGGGTCTTTGATGTTGGCAGCCTTTCTCCGGCAATGGGAAGTGTAAGTGAAGTCGTTGGATAGGAGGTTGGCTTCCATGACGGTCTGGCCTGAGCGCACAACCTTCTGTAGTTTATGGTCCAGGGCAGAGCAGTTGCTGTACCAGGCTGTTATGCACCCAGATATTACACATTCTATGGTGCATCTGTAAAAGTTGGAGAGGGTTCTTATGGATATGCCAAATTTCCCAAGCTGCCCGAGGCAAAAGAGAAGTTGTTGTGCCTTCTTGACCGTTGCATCTACATGGGAAGTCCAGGACAGGAGGTCGGTTATTGTCACTCCTAGGGACCTGATGCTCTCAGTCTCTGCTCCGTTGATGAAGATGGGAGTGTGTTCTCTTCCTTGCTTTCTAAAGTCAACAATCAGTTCTTTTGTTTTGCCGACCATTGAGAGAGAGGTTGTTATCATTGCAGCATGACACCAAGCCCGCTATCATCTTAATGTATTCTGACTCATCGTTATATCATGTATGTCCTGCCATGGTGGTGTCGTCAGCAAACCTGTAGACAGTGTTCATTCAGAATTCGGCGACACAATTGTGGGTGTACAGGGAGTACAGTAGGGGGCTGAGAATGCATTGTTGGGGGGCCTCCAGTGTTGACGGTTATCGTGGAGGAGGTGCAGTCGTCTATCTACACTGATTGCGGTCTGCAGGTAAGGAAGCTGAGGATCCAGTTGGAGAGGGCAGCGCCAAGACTTAGGTCTCAGAATTTTGAGATCCGTCTGGAGGAGATTATGGTGTTGAAGACAGCTGTAGTCGACAAGTAGGAGTCTGATGTAAGTGTCCTTGTTGTATGGTATTTTGTAAACCGTGTTGGTTCTGTATGTTGTGGGAATGGGGTCTTTAATCCTTTGTAAGTGTTTGTCGTGGAGTGGCTGTGGACTTGTGGGCCACCATGATTTCTAGTGGTCTTGGGAGTCTTGTTGTCAGTTCCGATATGTTCTTGATGTATGACAGTGTGGCCAATGTCTTAGAGCGTACTGTGTCCTCCTGTTGTTGCCTGTCTAGTAGGCATCTGCCCTAACACACTAGCCACAAGGATTAAAGACCCCATTCCCACAACATGCAGAACCAACATAGTTTACAAAATACCATGCAACGACTACCACAAACATTACATTGGAAAGACATGAAGGAAATTAGCCATCAGAATACATGAACATCAGCTAGTAGCAAAACGGCACGACGAACCCTCCTTAATATCTGTACACTCAGCCAATAAAGGCCATCAGTTTAACTGGGACAAGGTAACCATAGTAGCCCAAGCCAATCATAAACAAGCATGGGAATTCCTAGAGGCATGGTTCTCCACCTGTAATGCAATCAACAAACACATAAAATTGGACTCCATGTACAAACGCATACAGAACGAAACTGGAAATGACACTACTCACCAGAGCGGACCAAACGGTATAAATTCCAATCGGAGTAGAAGAACACTATTTCATCAGAGGCTCTCCCGATGTCACCTAGCATAGTGATGAAACATTTGAACGAGAACAAGCCAGCTCAGCGAGCAAGTCAACAACCTCACCCATAACCCAAGCCTTTGCCAAAACTGATGTAAGTGTCCTTGTTGTCCAGATATTCCAGGGATGAGTGCAGGGTGAGGGAAATGGTGTCCGCTGTGAATCTGTCATGTCGGTCGGCAAATTGCAAAGGATCGAGGCAGGGTGGCAGGCTTGAGTTTATGACCAGCCTATCGAAGAATTTCATGATTATACAGGCCAGAGCCACTCGGCTGTATTCATTAAGCCATGTTGCTTTTTCTACACTTGCTGTAAGACTTCCCTTGAAATAGGGGCCAACACTCCATTAGCCTTCCTGATTACCTGCTGCACCTGTGTGCTGGCTTTCGGTATTTCATGTACAAGGACCCCCAGGTCCCTTTGTGCTGCAGCTATCTGCAGCTTTTCTCCATTTAACTAATATCCCAATAATTTGTTCTCTTCCAAAATGAGCAACCTCACGTTTTCCCACATAATACTCCATTTGCCAACTTTTTATCCACTTATTTAACCTATCAATATCTCTTTAAACTGTTTGTATTCCTCTCTCAACCTGCTTTCCAGCTATGTTAGTGTTGTCTTTAAATTTGGCTGCAGTACATTCACTTCCTTCCTCCAGGTCATTCATTCATAATGTAAACAGTTGTAGTCCCAGCATCGATCCCTGTGAAACCCTGCTGGTCACAGGTCACTAATTAACAAACTTCTCACTAAGCTGCTGACCACCAACCTCCTTATCATCCCCACATTTGCCAGTGAAAGAAACACTAAAATAAAACCAAGAACTGTAGATGCTGGATATCTGTTCTGATGAAGGATCACTGGACCCAAAACATCAACTCTGCTTTCTCTCCACAGATGCTGCTAGACCTTTTGAGTTTCTCCAACAATTTCTGTTCTTGTTAACTGGGGGAATTCAGTGATGGTAACATCATGGAATGTCATGGGGTAGTGGTCAGATTGTCTCTTATTGGAAATGGTCATTGTCTGGCTTTTTTATGGTGTGAATGTTAGTTGCCACTTAACAGCCCAAGCCTGGATATTGTTCAGGTCTTGGTGCATTTGGGCATGGACTGCTTCAGTATCTGGAGAATCGCCACTGGTATTGAAAATTGTGCTGTGATCAGTGGATATCCCCACTAATAACCTTAAGGTACACCAACAACCACAACTGTCTTCCTTTGTGCCATATGTGACTCCAACTAGCACAGCGTTTTTTGCCCTGATTCTATTGAATGCAGTTTTGTTTGAGTTCCTTGATGCCACACATGATCAAGTATGGCCTTGATGTCAAGGACAGTCATACTCCCCTCATCTTTGTAATTCAGCTTTTCTGCCCATGTTTGAACCAAAGGTGATATGAGATCAGGAGCTGAGTGGCCCTGGTGGAATCAAAACTAGACATCAGTGAGAAGATTATCGCTGAGCAAATGATTTCAAGTATTTTACAAGAACTGGATCACTAGGACATTTTGCCAGGTTGATTTAATTATTACGTGACTTCTTTGTAAAGATTTTTTTCCACTTATGTAGGTGTCAATGGCTAACCCAGATTTGTTATCCGTCTCAAATTGCCTGGAGGACAGTTAGCAGCCAATGACATTTGTGGGTTTGGAGTTGCCGATAGGCCAGGCTAGGGAAGCAGTAGAATCAAAAACAGAAGTTGCTGGAAAAGTTAAGCATGTGTGGCAGCATCAGTGAAGAGAAACATTCTGGGTCCAGTGACCCTTCTTCAGATCTGATGGTAGCTAGGAAAACGTTGGCTCATGTGCAGAAGAGAGAGTGGGGGGAGGTGTAAGGAGTAAATGATCGGTGTGGATAGAGCCCACAGAGAGAGAGAGAGGGGTGCATTTGGACAGAGAAAGGAGCAAATAATAATCTGGTAGGAGGGTGAATACGGTAGGTTCTGCTATGATGCGATGTTGTGTTCTTGCGCAACATTGAGTTATAGAAATAACAGGGCCTATGGGAGAAATGGGGTTAGGGGCAGACCACCAAAAAATATCACTTAATCGCTCAAAAATCCCTCAAAAGCCGAACAAAAAGGATAGCACAGTTTGAATAAATGTTTAATTCATATCTAATAATGAAATAAAAGTAAATTTAACACCTTACCTTGAAAAAATGTCTGAATGTGTACTGGTGATTGTCAAAAACAACAAAGTGGAGAGTGTCCACTAGCAACTTAAACTGAAAACTCTGCCATTTGACATGAAATAGTATGGAGGAAATTTGCTTGAGACTGTTCAAATTATCAGCTGAGACTCGCAAGGACGAATTCAGGACCCTAGGCCAATGTCAAATTCCATCCTTATGGGGATCAGTTCAGACGAACATAAACCTGACTATTGAGCCACCTCTGAAACAGATGCAGTCAGGACTGTGTGCTGTTTCTTAAGACTCTACTAACACAAGCAATTATCAAATTAATGGTCTCCTCTTCTACACTATAGAATTATAAATCAGTGAGCCTTCTATCAGTTGTGGGTAAGTTGATGGACGGGATTCTAAGGGACATGATTTACATGCATTTGGAAAGGCAAGGACTGATTAGGGATACTCAACATGGCTTTGTGTGTGGGAAATATGTCTTACTAACTTGATTGAGGTTTTTGAAGAAGTGATAGACGATTGATGAAGGCGGAACAGTTGACGTTATCTCTATGGATTTCAGCAAAGCATTTTACAAGGTTCTGCATAGTAGACTGGTTTGTATCTGGGTGTTCAGGTCCATTGTACCCTGAAGGTGGCAACGCAGGTCGATAGAGTGGTCAAGGAGGCATACGGCATGCTTTCATTCATCGGACGGGGTGTTGAGTACAAGAGTTGGCAGGTCATGTTATAGTTGTATAGGACTTTGGTTCAACCACATTTGGAGTACTGCGTACAGGTCGCCACATTACCAAAAGGATGTGGATGCTTTGGAGAGGGTGCAGAGGAGGTTCACCAGCATGTTGCCTGGTATGGAGGGCGCTAGCTATGAAGAGAGGTTGAGTAGATTAAGATTATTTACATTAGAAAGACAGAGGTTGAGGGGGGACCTGATTGAGATCTACAAAATCATGAGAGGGAGAGACAGGGTGGACAGCAAGAAGCACAGAGGGTGGTGGGTGCTGGAACGTGTTGCCAGTGGAGGTGGTAGAGGCGGGCATGATAGCGTCATTTAAGATATATCTAGACAGATACATGAATGGGCAGGGAGCAGAGGGATACAGATCCTAGGAAAATAGGCAACAGGTTTAGATAGAGGATCTGGATCGATGTAGGCTTGGAGGGCCAAAGGGCCTGTTCCTGTGTTGTAATTTTCTTTGTTCTTTGTAAGATTAGATCATATGGGATCTCGGGGGAGCTAGCCAATTGAATACCAAATTGGCTTGAAGGTCAGAGACAGAGGGTGGTGATAGAGTTGTATTTTGGACCAGAGGCCTGTGACCAGCAGTGTGCCATACAGGTTGGTGCTGGGTCCACTGCTTTTTCTTATTTATGTAAATGACTTCAATGCCAGTATAGGAAGTGTGGTTAGTAAGTTTGTGGATAACACCAAAATAGGTGGTGTAGTGGACAGTGAAAAAAGTTTGTCAAGTACAAAAGGACCTTGATCAGAGAAGTGGGCCGAAGAGTGGCAGATGGAGTTTAATTAAGATAATGTGAGGTGTTGCATCTTGGGGAGAGAAACCAGGGCAAGACTTATACATGTAATGGTAGGGCCGTGGGAAATGTTGCTGAACAAAGAGATCTCTTGAGTACAGTTGCATAATTCCTTGAGAGTGGAGCCGTAGTTAGACAGGATGGTGAAAAAGGCATTTGGCACACTTGCCTTCATTGGTCAGAACTTTGACCATAGGAGTTGGGATGTCACACTGTTGCTGTACAGGACATTGGTGAAGCCACTTTTAGAATACTGCGTGCAATTCTGGTCGCTGTTCCATAGGAAAAATGTTGTTAAAACTTGGAAGGGTGCAGAAAAGATTTACAAGGATATTGCTGGGACTGGAGGGTTTGAGTTATAGGGAGAAGCTAAATAGGCTGGTGCTTTTTACACTGGAGCATTGAAGGCTGAGGGGTGACTTTATAGATGTTTATAAAATCATGAGGGGCATAGACAGGGTGAGTGGCCAAAACTAGAGGGCATATGTTTAAGGTGAGAGGGGAAAGATTTATAAAGAACCTGCGAGGTAACTTTTTCCACACAGGATGGCGCGTGTATGGAATGAACTGCAAGAGGAAATGGTGGAGACGGGTAAAATTGCAACATTTAAAAGGCATCTGGATAGGTATATGATTAGGAAGGTTTTAGAGGGATATGGGACAAATGCTGGCAAATGGGACTAGTCACATTGGGATGTCTGGTTGGTGCAGTTGAGTTGGATCAAAGGGCCTGTTTCTGTGACTCTATGCACTGAATCTTAATTTATATAGCAACATGTGGAATGAAAAAAATGTCAAATCATTTGCTGGAATCTTTTCATGTAAATATTTACTTTTTTTGGAATTCTGAGTATAATCTAGTTTTCCAGGTTGAAATGGGCACTACCTGCAAGTTGGCGCAGATATGATGGACTTGAAGGGTCTGTTCCTGTGCTGTACTGTTCTATGTTTTTATGTTAAATTAATTTATTTTCTCAATCTTTGTTTAAGATGGTGATCACTATTATTGCGGGACTTCCTGGTAGTTATAAAGAAGATCTTTGTACCTATATTGTCAATCTGAATCAAGAACAGGGAAGGTCAGTAAGTTAAATAATTTGACACAGTCACTTTTATTTTACAACTTAGAATTAAGAGTACATTTTACTAAGTGAAGAAATGTTCTTCTCTTTAAGAGTTAAATGTTGGTGTTTTCTATTCCTACACAAAGGGCTGAATTTTTTTCCGAGAGCCTGCATTCTTACCTTGAGAGACAGTACCTGCAAAGGTGGAATTTTTGTTCTGGAAGACAGGATATGTGCTCAAATTAGGTCTGAGGCAGAGCAACTGTTGGATGCCATCCAGCCATTAACAACTGATTAAAACAGGAAAAGCATCTTTTTACCTTTCACAACTCTACCTGCCTCCCCGTCTATGACCCTCCACCCACCTCCATAGGATCATCATATGTTCTGAGCCAGATGCTGCTCTTGACCACTTCATGACCATCCATACCCTCCATGACAAGTTATGGCACTTCCACACCCATTCCTTAGGCTAACACTGGAGAGGGGTTTGGTTGGCTGGACAGCTGGTATGCAATGCAAAGTAACACCAACAGCATGGGTTCAATTTCCTCACTGGTTGAGGTTAGCATGAAGAACTGTCCTTCTCAACCTCAACCTGGTGACTTTTGGGTTAAACCACTACCAGTCACCTTATTAATGAGAGACCGGCCCTACGGTCATCTGTGAGTATACTGGTGACTTTATCTTTCCCTTTACTTGTACTCAACAGAAACCATGAACCCTATAGTAACATAGAAGCAGAAAGGCAAATTATTCTTTCGCTGATGATACATTGGGAAATGTGCTTCTATGAAGGGATCTGCATGTCCTTGTACACCAGTCCATAAAAATAGGCAGTTGCAGCAAGCAATTAGGAAGCATATGATATGTTGGCCTTCATTGCAAGAGGATTTGAGTTCTGAAGTAGGGATTTCTAACTGCCATTATTCAGGACATTTTTGAGACTATACCTCTGGAGTATTACATAGTTTCATCTCCGTACCTAAAAAAACATACACTTGCCACAGAGGGAGTGCTGCAGGGGTTAACTGGGCTGATAGCAGGGATGGCAGGACTAAGATATCAGGAGAGGTTGGTTCAATTGTGTATATATTCACGAGAGTTTAGAAGGTTGAGAGGTGATCTGATTGAAATGTATAAAATTCAGCAGAACTGGACAAACTTGATGTAGGAAGGATTTTTCCCTGGTAAGGAAGTCTAGAATTTAGAACAATCTCAGGAAATGGGACAGACCATTTAGGACATAGAAACATAGAAAATGGGTGCAGGAATAGGTCATTTGGCCCTTCAAGTCTGCACCAACATTCAATATGACTATGGCTGATCATGCAATTTCAATATCTCGTGCCCGCTTTCTGTCTGTACCCCTTGAGCCCTTTTAGTCGCAAGGGCCACATCCAGCTCCCTCTTGAATGCATTTAATGAGCTTCCCCCCCCCCCAACAGCTTTCTCTGGTAGAAAATTCCACAGGTTCATGACTCTGAGTGAAGAAATTCTTCCTCATCTCAGTCCTGAATGGCTTACCCCTTATTCTTAGACTGTGCCCCTTAGTTCTCGACTTCCCCAACATTGGGAACATTCTTTCCGTATCTATCCTGTCCAGTCCCATCAGAACATAGAACAGTACAGCACAGTACAGGCCCTTCGGCCCACGATGTTATGCTGACCTATTATCCTACTGAGATCAAACTATTCTGTATACCCTACATTTTACTATCATCCATGTGCCATATGCCTTCTTTTCAACCCTATCAACTTGGGTGGCAACTTTGAGGGATCTATTGATGTAGACCCCAAGATCCCTCTGTTCCTCCACACTGCCGAGAATCCTGCCATTAACCCAGTATTCTGCATTCAAATTCAACCTTCCAAAATGAATCACTTCACACTTTTCTGGGTTGAATTCCATCTGCCACTTCTTTGTCCAGATCTGCTCAGAATTATATATATTTGAGATTCCCCTTCATTCTTCTAAATTCCAGCGAGTATAAACACAGTCAATCCAGTCTTTCCTCGAGTGTCAGTCCTGCCATCCTGGGAATCAGTCTATTGAACCTTTGCTGGACTCCCTCAATAGCAACAGAACATGATCACCAATGCGTCTGCCATTTCTAGGACCACTTCCTTCAGTACTCTGGGGACTTGACAAGTTTTAATCCCATCAATTTTCCCAATACCATTTCCTGACTAATCAGGATTTCTTTTAGTTCCTCCTCCTTGCTTGACCCTTTGTCCCTGAGCATTTCTTGAAGGTTATTTGTGTCCCCCTTAGTAAAGACAGATCCCGAGTATTTGTCCAACTGGCCTGTCATCTCTTTGTCCATTTATGAATTCACCTGATTCTAACTAAGAGATCTACATTTGTCTTTGCCAATCTTTTTCTTTTCACATATCTATAGAAGCTTTTGCAGTTAGTTTTTATATCTTCTGCAAACTTACTTTCATATTGTATTTTTCCCTTCCGAATTAAATCCTTTGTCCTCCTTTGCTGAATGTAAAATTTTTCCCAGTCCTCAGGTTTGCAGCTTTTCCTGGCCAGTTTATATGCCTGCGCTTTGGTTTTAACACTATCCCCGATTTCCCTTGTTAGTCATGGTTAAACCACCTTCCCTGTTTTACTCCGACACCAGAGACAGATGTACAGTTGTTGAAGTTCAGCTGTGTTCTTTAAATATCTGCCATTGCCTATCCACCGTCAACTCCTTAAGTATCCTTGGCCAGCTTATCCAAACCAATGCATGCTTTATACCATCAAAGTTAACTTTCTTTAAGTTCAGCACTCTAGTCTTGAATTTAATTGTATCACTCTTCATCTTGATGAAGAATTCTACCGTATTATGGTCACTCTTCCCCAAAAGATCTTGCACCACAAGGTTGCTAATTAGTTGTCTTTCATTACGCAAAACCTAGTCTGGGATGGATTGCTGTCTCGTTGGTTCCTTGACATATTGGTCAAGGAAACCATTCATCATACATTCCAGGAAATCCTCCATCACAATGCTACCAGCTTGGTTAGTCCAATCAATATGTAGATTGCAACCCATAATAACTGCTGTGTCCTTACTGCATGCATCTCTAATTTCCTGTTTGATACAGCCCCCAGCCCCTCAACTACTGTTTGGTTGTCCGTACACAACTCCCACTAATGTCTTTTTCCCTTTGTTGTTTTGCAGCTTCACCCATTCAGATCCTACATTGTCCACGCTAATGTCCTCCATTACTCTCGTGTTAATTTCCTCCTCAGCCAGCAACACAACTTCACCTCCCTTTTCTTTCCGTCTGTCTTTCCACAAATATGAATAACCCCGGATGTTGAGTTCCCATCCTGGAGCCAGATCTCCGTGATTCCAATTACATCATATCCATTAATAACTGTCTGCACAGTTAACTTATCCACCTTATTACAAGTGCTCATTGCATTGAGACAGAGCCTCCAGGCTCACTTTTTTTTTTGACATTTATTGCCCTTTTAGAATTATGATGTAATGTGGCCCTTTTTTGGTTTGTCTTTTGTCTCTGTGCCTTCCACTTTCACTTTTCCCCTCACTGTCTTTTGTTTCTGTCCCCATTTTACTTCCCTCCAACTGCCTGCTTTGCTTCCCATACCTGTACCATATCAGTTTAAACCCTCCCTAACACCACTAGCAAATACTCCCCACCCCCACGACATTGGTTCTAGTCCTGCCCAGGTGTAGATCATCTGATTTGTACTGGTCCCATCTCCCCCAACAGTATCTAAAACTCTGTACCTGTTTCAGGAGGAGATGACTGCAAGGACCCCTGCACTGCCTTCCTACCTCTTCCTCTGTCAATGGGCCGCTCATTTTCTATCTTCCTTAGTAAATTTTATCTGCAATATGAGCAACTTACTGAACGTGCTATCCACAATTTCCTTGGCCTCGTGGATGCTCCAAAGTGAATTCAGCTGCAGCTCCAGAGCTTTCAAGTGGTCAGACAGGAGCTGCAGCTAGACACTCTCCCTGCACGTGAAGGAGTCAGGGACATCGGAAGGGCCCCTGAATTCACACGTCACACAGGAAGAGCATAACATGGGTTTAGTATTTTCTGCCATGACCTAACCGTTAAGTTAGCTTAACACAGTGGCAATAAAGCCAAGAGAAAATAAGAGAAAAAAAAAATTACTTACTAGTCATCAGCAATGGCCTAATGCTGGCCCTATCGCTGGACTGTTAATCCAGACACCCAGGCAACGTTTTGGGGACGAAGATTCAAAACCTGCCGCGGCAGATGGTGAAATTTGAATTCAATGAAACTATCTGGAATTAAGAATCTAATGATGACCATGAATCCATTGTCGATTGTCAGAAAAACCCATCTGGTTCACTAGTGTCCTTAGGGAAGGAAACTGCCATCCTTACCTGGTCTGGCCTACATGTGACTCCAGATCCACAGCAATGTGATTGACTCTCAACTGCCCTATGGGCAATAAATTGTTGTCTGGCCAGTGATGCCCTCATGCCATAAATGAACAAAGAAAAAAAGCCACTTACTCCTCTGAGATAACAAGGTGTAGAGCTGGATGAACACAGCAGGCTGAGCAGGAAAGCTGACGTTTTGGGTCTGGACCTTCTTCAGCATGTATTCATCCAGCTCTACACCTTGTTATCTCAGATTCTCCAGCATCTGCAGTTCCTGCTATTTCCACTCACTCATCTGCTGGCTGTGACTTCCCGGTTTTAATTTCCTTCTACTTCACCTTCACCCTCATGCCTTCAGCAGCTGCAGTAGTTCAGTCCTCCTCTGACTGCCTTACCTGTGTGCTGATCAACCCTCTTCACAAAGCCCAGTATTCACTTAAACCTCCAGCAGCACATAAAGCAACCCTTCTCAAAATGGCTGCTCCACTATAGCTTGCCATCCTTTTATTCAGTCCTGGGCACTGACTGGTGACTGAGATAACTCCTCCCAGAATCCTCCTTGGTCACTTCTCAGTAGCGCCCTCTGTTGGATGCACTTGTACCATTCGCTGACACCAGCTCTCCTGTGCTCCC